GATATGCCAAAAACAGTAAAAACAAATCTCATAATGGAGACGTTACTGGTGCCTGCTCAAGCAAATCAATGAACAGCGGGAGGACAGTGCTACAGTGCTACAGACACTCAGGTAAAAGGTGGTTGCCTGTTTGGTTTTTGGCTATACCCTTGATGCTCGGGGCTGGAACGATAGCACAGCGGGTAGGGCATTTGCCTTACACGTGGCTGACCTAGGTTCAATTCCCATCATCCCATATGGTTCCCCGAGCACCGCCAAGAGTAATTCCTGAGTGCAGAGCCAGGAGTAACCCCTGTGCATCACTGGGTATGACTCAGAAAAGCATAAAAACAAATTAAAAAAAAAAACCCTACCCCTGATGCTCAGGATCACTCCTGGCAGTGCTCGGGGGACTGTATGGGATGCCAGGGCTGGTACCTGGATCAGCCATATGCATGGCAAGCACCCTACCTGCTGGACAATCTCTCCAATTCATATGAAAGTTTCTTGTGGAAGTCATATGCTTTTGTTTTTGTCGGGTACAGACCTAAGATTAAAATGACTGGGTCACATGGTAGATCTTTTCCTTGGGGTAGGTGGTCAGGGAGCCTGGGGTCCGCTTCCAGTAATTCTCTGCCAACCAGGAGGTTCAATGTGAGAGCTCAACAATGCAGTGCTGCCCAGGCCCTGGGGCCACCTCCAGTGATGCTCAGTGGGTGAGGAGAGCAGATATAGTGCCAGGCAGAACCGGGATCAGCCATATGTAAGGCATGCTCCCCGACCCCCGCATTATCCTTCCAGCCCCAGGGTAACTGCGGAGATGGGTGGGACAGGGATGGCCGACCTCCTTAAGTGCCAGGGATCACTCCTGGCAATGCTTAGGGGATCACAGGAAGGAATCCAACCCAAATCTCCTTCATGCCAAATGTACACTCAGCCTTTTGAACTCTCTTAATTTTCCCCAAAGTAGTTAGCTGCACTATTTCCACCTGCAATAGTTTTTTTGGCGACACCTTGAGTGGTTAAGGGGACCATCTGCTGTGCCAGGGAATCAAACCTAGGTTGGCCAAGTGCAAGGTAAGCGCCCTACCCACTGTACTATCTCTCCAGCCCATTTCCTGCAATGTTCTGGTGCCTCCCTATCTTCCCCTCACCAGTATGAGGGAGTGAGTCCAGGCCCTCACACAGGCAAAGCACCTGCTCTCTTGCTGAACTATATTCCCAGTCCACCCGTTCTATCTTTGTCAGAAGCGGTTACTGTCTTATTTCTCAGAGCCACACTAATGGAAGAGAAGTGATACCTCATGTGCTTTTGATTTCCATTTCTCTAATGAATAATGATACTGAGCATGTTTCATGTGCCAAACCCAGCAGTGCCCAGAGGCTGCTCTTGGCAGTGCTCTGAGGACCACACGGTGGTGCCTCCCATCCAGCATGCAGTTTGTCAGTTCAGCTGAGCCCTTTGAGCTCTCTCCTGCCCTTGATTTCAGATTCTTATTCTGAGTTCTAATGAATATGAGTATGCAAGTAGAAACATTTCCTCAGCTTGATTGTAACTGCAATAGCAGGATGACTGGTAAGTGAGGTATTAGTAACTAGAACAATACTCTCCCTTTTGAATCTTAAGAGTTTACCACAGAGGATTTTGCCCTGAACTTTCGAACTTTTAAATAAAGTCTTGAAAAATGGTTTCTTTCTTATTTGGGGGAAGAGGGCCTCGGCCACAATGGTGATGCTCAGGAGCAGTAATCCCTGACAGTGCTCAGGAGTCATATACGTAGTGCCATGATCAGCTTCATAAAAGGTAAGTCCCTTATGCCCAATAGTTCCCTCCAGCCCTTAAAACATGGTTTAAAACTTTACTAGCTCTCCGCCTCTCCCCACCCCCAACACAAACAAAGATTTTAATCCTGAAAAATTATACAGGCATTGACCAAAGTTGGTTTTCTATTGTTTTGTTTAATTCAGTGCCAGGATCTCACAAATTCTTGGCCTGTGCTCTATCTACCACTGTTCCACAGTCCCCCTACTCCCCACTTACTGGGTTTGGCCCCAAACCAAACCAGAACAAAACAAAAAGCAAACAAATCTGAAACTAAGAAGGACAAAGGTAGAAAATGAAAATTATTATCTATACATACCAGAAAAAGGAAAGATTTCCCCCCTCAATGTTGCAAAGCAATAATCTCTAGTGTAATTACAAAGAGAAGGTGAAAACAAAACACAAAACTGATATAGAGGCGTGGAGCTCAGCGGGAAGAGCTGGCTCTGTGCTCAGGGGCCATCTGTGGTGGCAGGGATGGAGCCCGGCTAGCCTCACGCAGTACAAGTGCCCTGCCTGCTGTACCCTCCCTGGCCCCTCAAACGACATCTCCTAAGAAAGCTTGATACACTACCATACAGGGTGATAGCCTAAATAAGACTATAAAATGAAGGCAGGAAACATGTAAGGAATATTTATTTCAAAGACTATTATTTTGTATTTTGATAAGAGGGTTTCCCCCACAACCCTGAGTTTTATTCATGTGAAATACAAAATCTTCCTCAAATTTCCCCAGTACACAGCAGATTCCTGAACATGAGAGCTACAAACAGAAAACGTGGGGAGGATTTGAATCAATTATTCTGACCCCTTTTCTAAAGATTTTGGCTGTGATGAGACCAAGCATCAATAAATGCAGATTCAACGACCTGTTCCAAAAAGCCACGAAGGGCTGGAGTGATAGTACAGCGGGTCAGGCACCCCATGTGGTCCCCGGAGCACTGCCAGGAGTTATTCTTGAGCATCATCAGATGTGTGTGTATCCTTTCCCCTGTACCCCCACCCCAAATCCAACAAAAAGCTACAGAACTAGGATTTGGGGGGATTTTTTGCCCTTTCCTTTTAAATTTCTTGGCTACAGAGATAGTGTGTTAAAGTACTTGCCTTACCAGTAGCCAATCCAGTTTGATCCCCAGCACCACGATCTCCTGTGCAGTACCAAAAGTGACCCCGGAACACAAAGCCAGGAGTAGCCCCTGAGCACCACCTGCCCCCCCAAACAAACAACAAAATACATTTATGTATATGGAGGGTGGGACACATCTGGCAGACTTCAGGGGTCACTGCTTGTGGTACTCAGGAGAACATGCAGTTCTGGGATGGAATTTGAGTATCCTGTAAGCACACCATGTGCTCAGCCCACTAAGCATTCTCTGGGGAACCAAAAATAAATGTTTAAAATCCCATTTTCAGAGCTGACAAAGTAGCTGAGAAGTAAAATAAAGGCTTCGCATGAGTGAAACTGGACCCTGGCACCACTGAGAAACAAAATCACATTTTCAGAGAGCTCGTTCATTCCACTGCTCCCAATGAGCAGTTTTGTTGCTGTTCCAACTTGTGTCATAAAATAACAATGAGTTGGGAGAGTAGCACATACAACACATATTCATGTGTGCAACCCTGAGCGGGATGCACGCGCATGTGTGTGAATGTCCCTGGATTCAATCCCTGGCACTGCAAAAACAACACACCGGGCTAGGAATGTGGTTCAGTGGCACAGCACTTGCCTTACATGTGTGAGTCCTTGGGTCTGATGGCCAGAACCACAAAAATTAAAAAAAAAAAAAAATTTTTTTAAAAACATAAAGCCCATTTTGAAGTGCATGATTAATCATCTTTAAAGTACAGTTACAACAGTGTCCCAACTGCCCTCCATCTGGAGACTTTTTTTTCATTTCAAAAGAAAACTGTATCCACAGACCAAAACTGCTCCCCTCGCCCCCAACGCCCCACCCCCAGTTCCTCCTGGTCTCTGCCTACACTCTTACCTGTCAAACCCTCTCCTAGGCCTCAGGGATCTGCCACAGGCAGTGCTCTTGGACCACGTGTGTGTTGGGGTGGGGGGGTTGGAGGGGTGGCGGGGGGTGGGGGGTGGGATTGTAGGGGTGGTAGGGTGGTTAGAGGCTGAAACTTGGGTATCCAAAAGCTCGAGTCTAGCCTTTGGAGCTGTCTTCCCGCCCCGATCGTTTCTTCTGTATCTAGCTTACTCCTCTACTGGATACTTTTTGTCAAGTGTAAAGCCCCAGCCCCGAAAGATTAGGTTTCACACAACGGGGCGAGCCATTGAGACACAACCTCCTAGATAGAAACTGGGGCGCGATGCTCCCCAGAGGCCCTGCTGGTCCCCGGAGTGCAGGGCGGGAGGAGGTAGTGGCGAGGCGCAGGCTCGGCCCCTGTCCCTGCCCCGTGGCCTGGCGGGGGGCGTCCCGTGGGCCGGGAAGGCAGAAGCTGTTGGTGGGCTAGCCAGGGTCAGGTCTCCCGCTCGCGCCCATCTGGGTCTCCCAGCAGGGATGACTCCTCCACCCAGACACCCAGGCCGGGGCGACACCTGTCAGAGCCGGGGCCGGGCTGCGGGCGCGGCGGCGCGGGGCAAGTCACCGGTGTGGGCAGCCCCACGGGGTCATGAGTCACGTCCATGGCTCAGAGGTTCGGGCGGGCCTGCCCCACCCGGCCCGGCCCAGGCCCGGCGCGGCAGGAGCACGCGAGAAAGACGCGAAACTGGCCAGAAAGGGGAGAGGGAGACGCCGCGGCCGGGACCCCGCAACCGAGTGGAAACTCCAAGTTGTCGGACGCCGAGCGGAGCGGCACAAAGGGCCGGGGGCCGAGACAACCACCGGGGGGCGTGGAGACGGGGCTCGGCCGCGTCCCGCCGCAACCCCCCACCCCGCACCCCGCAAGGACGGCGGATCTCCGGGCGCCGTCCGCCCGCCAAGGTCCCGGGCCGCGGGGTGACCTTGGGCGAGACGCCGCCTGGGGGGTTCCGGGCCGCGCGCTGGGCCGGCGGGAGCCCCCGGGGGTCCGGCCGCGGCGTCGGGACCCGCGTCGCCCGGGCGCGCCGGCGGGAGCATCCCCCGAGCATCCCCGGCGGCGGCGCGGGCCTGCCGGCGCGGGCGGCGCGACCCGCGGGACAGCCCGAGCCCCCCACCCCGGCGGCCCTCCCCGCCGCCCCCCGCGCCCCCGGCTCCCGACACCCCCGCACCTGCGAAGGGCTCCGCGTCCACATAGCCCGCGCGAGAGGCAGTTTCCGTCGCCGGCGCCAGGCCCGTTTCAAGCCGTAACCGCCGCCACAGCCTCCGTCGGCGCCTCACGCCCCCGGAAACGCTTCCCGGCCCCGCCCCCGGAGCGCCAGTGCTTCCGGAGCTACGTCAGACAAAAAGCGGTGTGCGCATGCGGAGCCGGCGTGCGGGGCGGGGCGGCCGCGTGCGCGCCCCCGCGGGGCAGGCGCCTGCGCAGTGCGCACCGGGCGGGTTCGCCAGCCCGAGGGGTAGTTGGGCCAGGTCCTTTTGGGGGGGAAAGGCGGGGTTGAAGGGCCAGACCGAGCTAGCCCAGCGGTAACTGAGGAGCTGGTACCGAGCTCTGAATCCTTTTCAACCCTTATGACCTATCTCAGATTGCCCCCAAAGATTGTGCCAAGTCCCCTTGTAACTATAGAGCCTACCTTTTGGGGTGGGCCCATGGTGAGCGTTGGGTAAATTCCAGGACAGGCCTTTGTGTGACTGAAGTGCTGGACTCCAGGATGGGCAAAACGGGGCCGCATCCGCTCCTCGGCGTCGTTTCTCCGCACCACCCACGTGTATGGACACATGATTCAGCCCCGCACTCGCACTCGCACTCGCAGACCTGCTAGAGGCCCCGGCCTTTGTGCAGTAGAGCTGATTTCCATTTGCCAGAAATCGCATAGCTCCAAGAATTCGAACGTAGAATCTTCTGGATTGAGGATGGCGGTTCTCCCAGTGCCAAACACACCCTTGTCTCTTAACAATGCCCCAGTCTTAGCTATGACACTGGGTCTCCCATCACCTGTGCCCCTCTTGTGTCTTGGGCTTTGGGCTTAGCTGGGCTCAGACAGGGCTGGGGGCTCTCGGAGACTTCTGCAAGAACATTCAATCGAAGAGAACAAAAATCAGAGCCCAGAAATGGGACTCAGAATGTTTCAAGGGTACATGTGTGCTTCAGCCCCTTGTTTTTATTTTGGGAATCACACCCAGAAGCAGTGTATGGGGAATGGGGGCTACTCCCAGCTCTATGGTCCTGGTGGTTCTCAGGGACCATTCAGTGCTAGATAGTGAACTGGTTCTCCTGCAGGGGAAGAATGTGTGCAGTCCATGCAGCTATTTCTCCCACTGCTCTTTTCATTTTATTTGTTTTTGCAGTGTCATGTCAGACCCATCCCTGAGCCACATTCCTGGACTTTCAGCCCCCTTTCACACCCAGCAGAAGTCCACGCTCTCAAAACCTCCAACAATTATACCGTATTAGGCATTCTAATACCTCAGATCCTAGTTTACGTTCCATTTAAGAAAAACCTGGTTTAGGTGCAGTGATAGTACAGCCTTGGCACGCAGCTCACCAGCGTTCAATTTCTTGCACCACATATGGTTCCCCAGAACTGCACCCAGACTGATCCCTGAATTCAGAGCCAGGAGTAAGCCCCGAGCATCACCTGGTGTGGTTCAAAAACCAAAAAAGAAAAGCAAAGTCTGGTTGTGCTCAGACATTCACCCCAGTTGGAGGTTAATAACTTATAATTGCTTCAAACTCTTCATAACTTCTCATTAGCTAGTCACTGAATTAGACATAGTCATGTGACACTCTCCTGCAAGGAACAGGCACTGGTTGTTCAGGTCATTGGGACTCTGGAAAAGTTTTACAGTATGTGTGTCTGTGTGTGTGTCTGTGTGTGTCTGTGTGAGTGCATGGCACTGGACTGAGGGAGGAAATCCAGGGCCTCACACAACAGTATGCATTGCACTGAATCCCATCCCTGCCCCCTTGTTTTGTTCTTAAAGTCCACTAGCACTTCTAGTTAAGTGCTTTGCCACTTTTCTTTTCTTCCTGACTCTAAGCATACCTGAAGTTTAGAAGTTCAATCCCCATCTTGACAAGTAAATGATAAGACCAGCAAGGTAAAAAGATTGAGAGAACTAGGTTTTATTATTATTATTATTATTATTATTATATTATTATTATTATTATTATTATTGCTTTGTGGGTCTCACCCAGCAATTCACAGCAGTTACTCCTGGCTCTACACTCAGGAATCAACTCCTGGTGGTGCTCGGGGGACCTTATGGCACTGGGTATCAAACCTGGGTCGGCTGCATGTGAGGCAAACACCCTACCTGCTGTATTATTGCTCCAGCCCCAAGAACGAGCTAGGTTTTTGTTGTTGTTGTTGTTTGGTTTGGGTTTTTTTTGGGGGGCTCATCCCCAACAGTGCTGAGGTTTACTCCTGGCTCTGTATTCAGGGATAATTCCTGGTGGATCTTGGAGGATCATATAGGGTGCCAAGATTAAACCCAAGTCAACTGAGTACAAAGCAAATGCTCTACCCGCTCTGTCGCTCTGGCCCCAAGCCCAAGTTTTATATGATGTTGAATTACAATCCCAGATTTGAATCCTTACCCCTGGTAATTTTGTTTTTTGTAGGGGGCATTACATCCAGCAGTGTTATTTACTCCTGGCATGGTGCTTGGGGGACCATCTGGTGCTGGGGATTGAACCCAGATTTCCTGCATACAAAGTATGAGTTCCAGTCTTTTGGGCCACTTCTGCATCTGACCCCTGAATATTTTACTCCATATTTATTTATTGGCCTAATAAACTTCTTACTTGATTTTATGTCTTGTAATATTGTGAACTATGTTCTTTCCAAATATAACAGCAACAAAAATGCCTAAAACTGCTCAGAGAAATAATAAAGCCCTCTTCGAAAGTGCACAGAGAGACATGCAGAACTTAAGTCAGGAAAATTATCTGAGGCCAAAAAGAAAGCAAAACAGAAACTGAAGTTAGGCTAAAGTCCAGAGATTATTCAAGGTGCAGTTCACATCTGATCTGATTGGTTGGTTGTTGTGTTAAGCAAACTCGAAAATATTTTGAAGATCATCTCTGGAGAGAGGTAAATGCTGAGGCTGCAATCAGTGACCTGGATTCTGGAAGGATGAGAACATACTGGAATTGGTGGAGACCCAATAAGGGCAGTATCTGTGGGGAAAGGAGACCCACAGGAGGAGAGAATGGGCCTGCAGAGGCGGACAGCAAGGAAAGCTCTGTGTGGAAGGTAAATGTTTTCCCAGAGGATCCACAGCCAAAGCCTGATCATCAGCACATGATCATGCTGTTTGTATAGCCCCAAAGCCCACAAATGGAGCCTTTTCATTTGAAATGTACCTAGGCAGATACTATCTATGACACTTGGCCAATGCAAATACAAACACTCTGGGAGAACTCAGCATCCACCCAGGTCTCAGTGCCCACAGATAGGCTTGCAAATAAACAGGAACTTAGTCACACACACATCCAAGTAGAGAAAACAGAGGCAGAGCCACAATTTGAGTTAGTAGGCATTTAAAAACAATTTTTTAATTGAATCAATGTGAGATATACAGTTACAAAGTTTTTCATGATTGGGTTTCAGTTAAACAATGTTCCAACACCCGTCCTTTCACCAGTGCACTTTTTCCACCACCAGTGTCCCCAGGTTTCTCCCCGCCACCCCAGCTGCCCCTATGACAGACAAAGGAGTGTCTGCTGAAGAGGCAGGGTGGAGAGTAGGGGAGGGAGGGAAACTGGGGACATTGGTGGTGGAAACTGTGCACTGGTGAAGGGATGGGTGTTGGAACATTGTATGACTGAAATCCAATCATGAACAGCTTTGTAACTATATCTCACAGTGATTCAATTTAAAAAAAAATATCACAGCGGGTAGGGTGTTTGCCTTGCACGTGGCCAACCCAGGCATCACATACGGTCCCTGAGCACCTCCAGGAGTGATTCCTGAGTGCAGAGCCAGGCGTAACCCCTGCGCATCACTGGGTATGACCCAAAAAGAAAAAAAAAATGAGCCAGGGACATAGCTCAGTGGTAGAGCACTTGTAAGTGTGAGGCCTCACATTCCAAAAGAGTGAGAGAAAGAAAAAGAACTGTGTGTGTGTGTGTGTGTGTGTGTGTGTGCGTGTGTGTGTGTGTTCAGGGGTTACTCCTAGCTCTGTGCTCAGAATCACTCCTGGTGGGCTCAGTGGATCCAATGGGATGCCAGGAATTGAACCTGTGTTGGCAATGTGTAAGGTAAGCACCTTAGCTGCTATACTATTGCTCCAGCCCCAGGAAAAGAACTCTTGGGTTTTGAGATGTCTCAAGGAACTCTCAAAAGTTACCATAAAAACATGACAAAAAAAACCACCCATATTGTGGACCTGCCTTTATCACAGCATAGACTCATTATCTCCCAAAGTGGACAAGACCACCTCTCCTCCACTCCAGGGTGGGCTGGTGCTGGGAGCTGTGGGAGAGTAGTAGCCTCTAGAGAAGCAAATTGGGAAGGGGGAGCTCCTTCTGTTTGTTCACTTAGGGAAGGAGATTTCAGGAGTCACAGAGATAGACCAGCGTAGGGTGCTTGCTTTGCTCGTGGCCACCCAGCTTCCATCCCTGGCACCACATATGATCCCCTTAGCTTGCCAGGAGAGATCCCAGAGAAAAGATGGAGGAACCAGCCCTGACCACGGCAATGGGTCAAACAAGATGGGATTCTCTGGATAGTTCATCAAGGCAGAATAACAAATCGGATGTAACTGAAGGGTTTAGGACAGCAGGTCTCAATCTTTTCCAGACCATGACCCCCTTCTGTCCTGTGTCCACTCCCTGCCTTGTCATCTTATGCTATGAATTTCTATTTAAGTGGTTTTCACATTGGTCCCCTTGGAATATCCCGGGGGTCCCCCAGGACCTATATGGCTCAGTTGGGAAATGCTGCTTTGGTAAACAACAATGAAAAATAGATTTGCAGAAAATAATCCAAAAGATCTCCTGGAGAGGGGCTTGGGCAATAGCTGAATGGACTGGACCATTCTTTGCATGCAATAACCGGGTTTGATTCCTGCCATTAGAGTACACCAGCACTGATTCAGGAGTGAGCTGAGCACACTTTGCGTGGTTCAAAAACAAAGAAATCTCAGATAAATAAGTGGAATAAAGTTAAATAGGCCAGTCGAAACTTAGCATTTGTATTAGAAAAAGATAAGAAAATGAATTTAAGTGAACCGATTATCAAATAGAGAAGTCAAGAATTTTCCAGCATTGATGGAAAAATCCTTAAGAAATATTA